ATATTAGGATCATAGGGAGGAGCACTATCCATTAATTGCTGCACTTTCAGACAACAGCAAACAACAATGAGCCACACCTTAATTTGTAAACATAATTCATTTAGAGCTTATATCTACTTAAATTTCACTCAGATGCACTTATATCTATTACATCAGTTTCTACTAAAGTAAATACTGCAGCAGCAATAGCCAGTAGTATAATCATAATGAAAAACTGGAACATTGCTAGCAATACACATGTATAAGCAACATTCTTCCTCTGATCTGCATCACGATACTTATTTTCTTGAGCAGCTTGTACTGCCTACAGATCATTAATAATGATAATAATATTTATTGACTTGGCACTTACTCTCCATGAGAATATTACAGCAGGCACTGTAAACATTAACGATGAAAAGTTGCAGCAAATGAGACATGTCACCAGCACACATAACGAACACACCATTTGTGGATTGTATTCTTGACTTCTGTAATTAGGATCATCGTGCTATGAATAATAATAAAAATGATAGTAATTTTGTACACATTGTCTTACTATCTCTTGAATTTGCCCATTAGGAGCTGCTGATGGCTGTTGAGTGGTTATTATTGGTTGAGCTGTAATAGCACTCACAGCAGTTGGTTCATATGGAGGTGGTTGCAGCTCTACTGCTGCTGCATCTTGTCCAGTAGGTGGGCTCTGCTGAAGTTCAAACTCTGCTGGGGCACTAGGAGTGGGTGGTACTGTAGTGCTTGCTTCACTTGATGCCATTTTATGTTAAAATGCGTCTTTGCTTTTTTGTAGCAATAATGAGCCACGCCTAGCTTTATTATTATTCATTGATCCATCAATAACAAGCGTAACAGGGTAAAAAATATTCCTATAATTGATTTCACCACCTTGCAAGTACAACTTGGTCATTATTAAGACTTATAGAGGCTCTCTCTACCTTATAATGCTTCTAGAGAAGTCTTTAGACAGTATCCTATGCTCTCTTGCTGTTAGAAAGCTCTTAACTTTGTTCCATGTGTAAGCCGCCATTTTGTTTGCCGTGGCCACACCCACTCATGTAAAGGAGCGTGGGCGGGTGGTTGCTAAGGCTTGTTATTTCTCTAATACAACGTGTATAGAAGAAATGTAAGTGTGGACATACAAATAAATAAATATAATAGATAGATAGCGCGACGGTGAAATCAATTATAGGAACGACCTGGGGGCTACGCCCCCAGGTCGTTAAAAATAATGATTAACCATTAAAAGATAATACACCATCCTCAATTAATAAAAAGATTGCTACAATAAGAGAGATTAGTAATAATAAAATAACAAATTGGACGACTCCTATCCAAAAAAACAGTATTGAAATATTCCTCCTCTTCTCAGCTTTGCGATACTGATCATTCATACTAGCTTGGACTGCCTGAAGAAAAATAATGTAAATTATAAATTAGAGTGGCAGCAATTAGACCTACCTTCCAAGCACACAAAACAGCAGGTATGGTGAAAAATAATGATCCTATATTACAGATTGCAACACAGGTAACCAATAAACACAATGAAGTGGTCATCTGCCTTGCATATCTTGCGTTAGGATCTTCTTCTTGGTGGTACTATACACACAAATCAATAATAAGAATAATAATAACAATTATTGTCTCACAATTGATGGTATTAAGTTTGGATTTGTAGATCTAAATCTTGTTGGATTGCTATGTCGACCTATTACAGGAACTGTTGATGAATGTTGCAAGACATTATGAACTGGAGCGTGGCGTCTTGTGGCAGCTCTCTCTTGAGCTGATAGTGTCCGATGTAAACCAGGATAAGGTGGAGGAGGTGTAGAATAATCAACAGGGTCAATGATTCGCTGCTGTCTTCGTCTGTTACCATGATCTTGATCTTCTCCATCAGCACTGACAGCTCCTCGTGGATCATTAAACGATGTATCCCGAGTGTCCCTTCCAATAGTACTCGCCTGTCTTGTCGTTACATCAAGAGTTCCCCGTGTAAGAGTGCTTTCCTGTCTTGTAGGAGCTTCTCTTCTATTTTGAGTACTTGCTGGTGTAGATCTGTTGGTAGTTTCGTTTCTTCTCGCTTCTTCCTCTATTCTCTCTATGCTAGAACAAGAGCTGTTAGTCCTATCCTGTGACCCATTGTCTGTACTGATCCCTGTATATTTTGTAAATAAATAAATAAATACCCAAAGAGCCTTACCTGACATTACAGAGTAAACATTGAACCAGCTCCACCTTAACTGGGTGTGGCTAAACTTGCAATTTTAGTCACGCCTATTTAGCAGGTGGAAGAACGTGGAACACAAAATGGCCGCCAGACCTTCCCTTCCAAAGATTTTAAACGTTGCAGAGAAAAACGACGCAGCCAAAGAGCTAGCAAAAGTCATGTCCGGACGGAGGGGATTTCAGAGAGTGAGAAATATATTATACAATACACTGTACACGTGGTCGTGGATACATGTAACACCCCTCTCTCTCTTTTTACAGCGTGAAGGATTTTCAAAATTTAATAAAATATATGAATTCAACCTCCACATCTTGGGAAGAGTATGTTAATTGTTATTTTAATAAATGATTAATTCAATTAATAATTTAATTAATAGGAGCACCAAATGGTAATGACCTCAGTATCCGGTCACCTAATGCAACTGGACTTTATTCAAATATATCGCAACTGGTATAAATAACTATACTTATTAATAGAGGATATGCGTGCTAAGTATATTCATTGCATACCGTAATAACTTTCAAGAAAAAAAATTAATTCGTTGGACATCAGTTTTCTATTGGCAGCGATGGAGAAACAGTAGAAAAAGGCTTGGTACCAGGAAACCGCTCTGTATTTCTTAATAACAGGTGACTACTAGACCCCATTAGATCCTAAGAATGCTTTCTAAGCTTCCGAAAAAGGCCTCAAGAAGGTAGCAAGGCAAGAAAATGTGTTTTCCCCCATTGAACTCTTAATAAACTTGACGTCCAACATGGCGGCCAATTTACTGTGTGGGTTGGATATACGGTACTTAAAAGTTATGAATATACTTAGCACGCATATCCTCTATTAACAACTAACTGCTGTCAATTAATAAATGACTATAGGCAGAATTGTGCACCCATCAAGTTGTTTGATGCACAAGTAGAGAAGAGTGTCCAGCCTGATTTCATCCCAATAAAGAGAACCATACAAAGAGAGATAAGAGGATGTCAGGATGTTATACTGTGGACCGATGGAGACAGGGAGGGAGAAGACATAGCACAGGAAATAGTGGATGTGTGTTTTGAAGGTAATTTAATTAACTAATGAATATATTGTTAATCGTTTTTTTATTATAATAATTTTTATATAGTAAGACAAAGATTGCGAATTCACAGAGCAAGGTTTTCGGAAATAACGCCCCAGTTAGTTAGTGGTACATTTAATATTGTTACTCTCATAGTCCTCTGTCTCTCTCTCCTCAGGTCTATAACCAGAGCTTGTACTAATCTTACTGTGTTGGATAAAAGGATGGTTGATGCTGTTGAGGCAAGACAAGAGCTTGATCTTAGAATAGGTAAATATAATAAATGGAAAAATAATTTGGGCAAAGACCCAGTATTTTATCAAAAATGGCTAGAAGATATATATATATATATATATATATATATATATATATATATATATATATATTGATGCATATACTTATGTTGCTTAGAAATTTTGAACTGATTCTAATCGAAATTGGTTTTTAATGAATTTTTAAGTTGCTTCGAAATTGGGCCAAAGACCCTACAGCGACTTTGCCTAAATTTCACCAAAAATGAAAAGTAGAGAACTCTCCACTTCTATAATTTTCCTGATACATATGCCTGTCTTTGTGTTGCGTGGAAATTTTGAGCTGATTCCAATCACAATTGAATTTTTTACAAATTTTTAAAAGTTTCCCCAAAATTAGGCCAATGATAATACCAGAATCTTAGGCCAAATTCTGTCAAAAATGAAAAGAAAAAGATTCTCCATTTTTGATGCATGTACATGTACATATTCTTATGCTATGTTGAAAGTTTAAATTGATTCCGATCAAAATTGGATTTTTTAATGAATTTTTTATACTGTACTATACTCGCCCCAATTAACACCTCTTGATAAATAATTACATATCTCAGGTGGTCATTGTTTAGATAGGAACAATTATGAAATGCTCCAGGAGGTGCTTAGCAAAGTACTCAATATACCTGTAAACAATGGGACTTTCTAATTACAATGCCATGTAGAGGTTTAATAATAGGAGGGTGCATTAATTGGGGAGAGTATGGTGGTTACTCCAACATGCTTTTTACTATTGTAGCTCACTTAGCATGCTGTAGGGGAAACCCTCATCCTCTCCCTCCTAAAGCATGTTTTATTATAGTGATGATGATGATGATGAGATATTTATTAGTTGTTGTTGTTGTAGGTTGTGCATTCACTAGGTTTCAGACCATGAGGTTGCGTAAGGTATTTCCTAATATCCTCTCAGACCAGTTAGTATCCTATGGGCCATGCCAGTTCCCTACACTTGGATTTGTGGTTGATAGAGTAAGAGAGAGAGAGGGATGGAAGGGAGAGAGTTAATATGGTAGGTCTTTTTCTTCCTCTCTTAGTATAAGGAAATACAAGCGTTTGTTCCAGAGACATTTTATAAGATAACAGTCACTCACCAGGCAAGCAATGAAAATGTAAGCTTCAATTGGAAAAGGTAAGATATAATGATAAAAAAATAGCAAGAGAATATAAAAATAGTAATAATATTAATAATAATAATAATAATAATAATAATAATAGGGTTAGATTGTTCAATCATACTTGTTGTCTCATTTTGTACCAGCTCTGTATGGAGGTATGTGTATTTCTTTGTTTGTTTATGTGGTGGGCATTAAATAGAATCCCACAGCTCGTGTTGTTGATATCAAAAGTAAACCAAAGAGCAAGTGGAGGCCGTGCCCACTGGACACAGTAGTAAGGATGATGGTTTTTTATTATACACATGTACTTATTGATGTCCTTGTGCTATGTAGAAATTCCAACTAAAAGTTTTGAGTTATGAAAATATCATATACCGGCTTATTTTTGCATAATAAATTTTTATGAATAGCTTGCAAACTGCACCATGTGGCAATGGAGATGTAGAATTTCACAATTTAAATTTTTGTGGTTGAGCAAAAAACATGAATTATTTAACTGCGAAAATAAACGTATGGTAGCAATTTTTTTGAAACATGGATTAATGTTTCTGAAAATTGGCTCTGAAATTATTTTCTGATACATATTAATGCCTTATAGAGCAAGGCTGCAAAAGTCGAAGCAGGCCAGCCATTTTGAAGTGGGGTGAATCCTACTTAGCAACGCTACCGCGTTACTAATGTGCTGTGTAAAAAGTTTAAGCTGATTGACCTGATTTTATTTTCTGGCTAAAGATCTAATTTCGAACAAAAATTCTACATTGTAGCTCTCAACTTTTAGAATGTGTATTTATATCAGAAAATGTAAGAATTTTGTCCTAACCATTTTTGATGGACTACCCTGTCATAGGAATTAGAGAAGTTGTGTTCAAGGAAGTTACGTATCAGTGCAAAAGAGACTATGAAGATTGCTGAAAAACTCTACACACAAGGGTATAGGGCCCCTTTTCTCCTCTCTCTTTATCTTCCTCTCTCTCTCAGGTTCATTAGTTACCCTAGAACAGAGACTAACATATTTCCGGAATCTTTTGATCTTGTCTCTTTAATTAGAGAACAGACACAGGATCATAGATGGGGAGGTGAGAGAGAGATGAGAGATACATTGTATGTGCATTTATATGAAGAGATAGAGAATGCCAGCTATTGAATATATGTCATTAATATCATCAGTTATTAATACTAGTTATTAATACAGGTTTTGCTGGTAATGTGTTGTCTGTTGGTCCTACTCCAAGAAATGGTCAGAAGACAGATAATGCTCATCCACCAATACATCCAGTGAAATACACGAATAGTCTTACTGTTAGTTTAATTGTTGTTGTTGCTGTTGTTGTTTATCATTGTTTATTTATTTTTAGGGTAACGAACAACGACTGTATGAATTTGTTGTAAGACATTTTCTAGCTTGCTGTTCAAAAGTAAATACATTTATAAACCTCTCCTTTTTCATCTCCCTCCCTCAGAATGCTGAAGGTAATGAAACTACTGTTGAAATAGAGATAGGAGGAGAAAGAGTTAGTCAATTTACTATTAACTAATAATTGTATGATATTATGATGACAGTTTATAGCTAAAGGTTTAGTCATCACTGCCAGGAATTACCTTGATGTGTATATTTATGACAAATGGGCCGATAAAGTAGGAACAATTATTCTTAAAATTTTTATATTTGCTATCTTATTGGATCAGTAATAGAAGGTTGCGTATTATATTTTATTTTTATTTGATAGACTCTACCACAGTATCAGCTAAATGGGACATTTTTACCATCAGCAATTGAAGTATTGTTGTCTCTTTGTTATTGTTTATTGTTTGTTGTTGTTTATAGATGATAGAAGGCGAAACCAACCCACCATCACTATTACAAGAAGCTGATCTAATTGCTTTAATGGACAAACATGGCATAGGGACTGATGCTACACACGCTGAGCATATCGAAACGATTAAAACTCGCTCGTATGTTGGAGTACAATCTGACGGCAGTTTCGTACCAGGAGAACTTGGAATAGGACTTGTTGAGGGTAACTGATTATAAGTAACATGCATCTTGCCTTCCAATATCTCTACTTTCTTGTCACTAATGAGTGTGTTTTACAGGCTATGATTCAATGGGATATCAGCTATCAAAACCTAAACTAAGAGCTGAACTGGAGGACAAGTTAAAAAGGTAGAGAAAATGCATGTACATGTACCGTATAGCGGGATTTATTGACGAAGGTTTTATTTTGACGAGTTGACAATTTAAAATAAAACGTCAAATTTTATAACCATCAAAAATTTTTTTGTTTATGCCGCGTGTATGCGAAGGGCACTATTTGTCAAATTAAAACTGGCCAACCGGGGAAATTTACTGTTTTCGTCAAATTTTTTACTCGTCAATAAATCCCGCTATACGGTATGCTACATTATATACATGTATGTAATTGTATTTTTTACTTTTATTATTTGTAGGATTTGTGATGGATATTGTACTAAAGATGGTAAGGCTTGTTTGTATTATTTTTGACTAAACAATTAAGACAAAATATAGTATTTATTTATATCATTTAGATGTTGTAAGAGAAATGCTTGATAAATATAAAAGAGTTTTTGTTCAAGCAAAGCAGCAAGTAAATATTTGCTATTGTTTTTTGTTATTTTTGCTTGTCTTTTAGGCTAGAAAACTTGATCTCTCGCTATCCAAGTATTTTGGAGAAGCAAGAGATTTTAATGAACAAGAACAAAGTAATAAATAAATTAATAATGACTTTTATGATTATTTTTTATTTCAGCTCAAGAGCCACTTCTTAGTGACGCTGTTAGGAGGTGTCCATTTTGCAAGGAGAAAGACATGGTTGTGAAAAGAAAGAAAGATGGAGGGTGAGTGTTACAGTATGATCTAGTGTTGTTGTTATTGTTGTTGTTGTTATTGTTGTTGTTTTTGTTTAGATATATGTTAAGTTGTTTGGGGTTTCCTCACTGCCGCAGTTTGCAGTTCTTTCCATCGTCAGTGATTGAAGCAAAACCACACCCAACTCAGCGCTGTAATAATGTAAGAATTTTTAGTGTCTTGAAATCACTTTTTTATGTGTTTTAGTCTATTTATTAAGGGACATTTGATAGATAATAAATTAAAGCATAATTTATTTTGAATAATAAATAGAGTTTAATCCCTAGTCCCTGGTGCACTGAAAAAATATAATTACTGGACACAATTAAAATTGCACTCTCTCTCTCTCCTCTTCTCTTTTAGTGCTACCCACCGCCTGTTAGTTATTTATCGTTTAAGTTTCAACGTGGCTCCACCCCTCATTTCATGTCAGATGAATACACTGGCTGTTCAACGTGTGACGGTAATTTGATTAATGTACTTAACTTCCGACCAATCAAAGAAGGGACGGCACCAACGCAGTCTCAGACATCAACCAGAGGTCAATTTGATAATTTACTGTACATGCATAGAAATATGTAATAAAAGTAGAAAATTCTTTCATAGCAATTTTGGCAAAATACGGTATAGCAAGAAATTTTCGTGGCCCAAAATTTTTGCAGATCCGTCTAAAAATTAATTTCGTGACTTTAATTTTTGTGGTTTTTTACTTTTTGGCCATTTTGAACCTTATTAAATTGAATATCGCGGATTTTATTTTTTTTTAATTTTGAAAAAGGCGAAATCCATGAAAATTTTTTGCTATACAGTACCATGCATTTAGATCAGAATTAATTTCAAATTTCTAAACAACATTAAGAACATATATTTTTATCAGAAAAAATTTTAACAAATGAAGAATTCTCTCCTAGCCACTTTTGACAAAATTTGACCAAAGCTATAGCCTAATTTGGCCATTGGCCTGATTTTAAAGTAATTTTTAAAATTTTTCAAAAATTCAAACTTGATCTGAATGAGCTCAAACTTTCTATGCAACATAAGAACATATATCAGCAGCATAAGAACATATATCACAAAAAAATTTAAAAGTGGAGAATTCTCTTTAAATCATTTTCAATCTCAGTTTGGTCTTATGCTACGTTCAAGATACATGTACATGTACATTGTAAGTGATGTCACCAGTTAAAGTTACATTATTGTAAATCTAGCTTAATATATATCAAATAAAATTATAAAAATAGAGAATTCTCTTTGGCATTATCATCATCATCATCATTATTATTATTATTATTATTATTATTATTATTATGAAAATAGGTAGAGGTAGTACTAGGGGCTCCTCCACTCACTCAAGAGGAAGGGGATTCAATCATACCAATAATTTTGGACCCCCACCACCCCCTCCTCCTCCTCCTGGAGGGGGTGGGGCTTATAATATTGGCAGAGGAGCTGGTCCTTCATACACTGGAGTGGGGATGATAGGGGGTGGAGTAGGGGGCGTGGTTTGCAACTGTGGTATTGAAGCAATATTATTAACTGTGAGAAATGAACAAAGTATTAATAAAGGTAATTATATTAATTATTTTATTATTATTATTATTATTTTATTATTATTATTATTATATTAATTTCATTAGGGCGTCAGTTTTATAAATGTGCTAAAAGGGACGAAGAAGGAAAATGCAATTTCTTTCTTTGGGCGGATGAGTCGGATTCCAATAATCAACAATCAACATCATACCATACTCAGCAGCAACAACCCTTCTTTAACAGTTAGTACATGTATACTGTTGTTGTTTATTATAATTATTTATAATTCTATTATTTTTATTATAATTGGAATAGGAGGAGGAGGTAGAGGTTCTTTTCCAGGTGGTAGTGCTCCTGGTTTTCTATTCACTAAAAGGTATTGATTGATTGAGATGTGTGTCTGTACTGTATATTAACTAAAATCTTGATAATGGTACGCCCCACGATGATATTACCATCTTTTCATAGTATATAAAGAAATAATTTAGTTTGTTAGTGTCAAGTCTTAGAGTTTTAGGTGTTGCTACAATTTTAGGTGTTGCTACAATAACAATTTTTGGAGGGACAATTGTCCCATTTGTATAATTTTTAAAAGTTTATAATGAAAGTACAGCATTTTCCAAAAAAGTTATTTCACCAGCGAGATACTGTAGGACACCTTTTTTCAAGGGCTGTAAATTTCACAAATTTACCTTAAGATCGCAAATTTATGCCGTCTGCCATTTTATATTGTAATAATTTGTTTTCGCGGAAGTAATTTTTGCGTATCTTCAAAAAATTGTAAAATCCGCAAAATTTACAGCCCTCAAAAAAAGGTCCCCTACGGTAACAACTAGTATACATTCTACATATCCCTTTAGAGGAGGAGGGAGAGGGAGATGGGGAGGAGGAGGAGGAAGTAATGCTGGTACCTGTCGCTGTGGACTACCTGCTGTACAGTATGTTAATATGGTAGCTGAATAATTATGATTTTAATGACAGGAGGACCGTTCAGTCTGGCAATAATCAAGGGAGATTATTTCGTACTTGTCCTAAACCGCGAGACGAGCAGTGCGGGTTCTTCGAGTGGATGGATAATCCCGGACCCAGTGGCATGGGTTCCAGTGCAGGGGGGAAATCAAGAGGTAGAACGTTTAGCAGTAGAGGAGGGGATGATGATGAACAGGGTGCAAAGAAAAAGAGAGCAGGACCCACTTGCAGTATATGTCACACATTGGGACACACTAAGAGAACATGCCCTAATAATAATTGATAGTTTAACGTCACTAATTTTGATAAGAAAAGATATTATCATAATACACTGGTATACATATTATTGTTATTCTTGTGAGTTGATATAAATTGGTTTTGATTGATTTGTTTGTCTTTTTTGTGCTCTTTTGTGTTTGCTGGCCGGAACAAATGTTTGTGGGAAATTGACCTAAGGGAATTTTTAAGTAAAAGATAAAGAGAGATCATGAAATGGAAGAAAAGAGAGTAGAGAACTTGCTCACCAGTCTTGGATAAGGATTGTTATAATGTAGAGCTGTATATTAAAAAGTGAAAGTAGAAGTGAATTTAGTCTTGTGCAAATTATATGTAGCGTACTACAGCAGCCTCTTTCACTCAAGGAGTTGATGAGGCTGTTCTATTCAGTAGCAATGTTCTCATTTACCTAGATCTATTCTTGATTTTGCTTCTTCAATGCACCCTCTTATCTCCAAAGGATCTTGCAGCTATCAAAAAAATTCAATTTTTATAATTTAAAATTTCAAACCATATCTTACTGTTCTTACATATTTATTTTTGTGAAAAAGTCTCCTCGCCTCCTCCTTAATGTATTTCCTCTCTATCACACTGTCAGATTCAACGGTTGCTCTCCATACTCGAGCAAGTGACAGGATCCTACGATACAAGGACAGGACTTCTCTGCTGGAAGACATGACAGTGGGCGTGTCAAAATTAATATAATCATTTGGTCACACCTATTAATTTTTTATAGTCACGACACTACAGGTCAAGTCAACACCAATAATGGGCTGCCGTAACTCTCGTGCTGGAAGAAGAGCAGATGAAGAGAGTCCTCCTGATGTCGACCCTAATTCATCGGATCCCATTCCTTCTTCTTATCCTGTCAAGAGCAACGGAGAGCAATCATCAGAGTCAGATAATACCAGCACTTGTTTCACGCCATTAATGACTGGTAACGGGGCAAAGCCACTACCATCTTACCAGTCTAATGAGAATATAGATACTACACCCGCTGACACTATACTGGATATTGGTGATGATGATAGACGCTCTAACGCTACAATGGACAGTGGTAAACTGGACGTGCAGAGAGGAGAGAACACTGGTGGTTCTAAGTGTAATTTATTTAATACGGAGCGTGCAGTGTCTAATAACGATGTCTCCACGACAATTGTTGAAGCTGATAAGCCAACAGTGTCGCCAAGCCCTCCCACTGTTTTATCACAAGCCACGCCTACAATAACCCCTCCTCCTATTACGTACCAATCTATTGAAAAGCCGTATTACAGTTACAATTCAGTTATTAATTGTCGTTATTCAATTACGGAGACAAGCGAATTATCTGCTGATCCAGATCACTATAATGAGGACAGGGTGTTCTTTGCTAAAACTGATGATGTCATTGTCATGGCTGTGTTTGATGGGCACGATGGTAACAAAGCTTCTGGTCTGGTTGAACAATATCTCTTCAGTAAATTCATTAATCCTGATGTCCTTGTGGGCCTTCGTTTTGAAACAAAAGCAACACTGTATGCTTTGATTGATGATGTGGAGCGTGTATTTTTTCAGAAAATTAATGATTATATTGAAGAAAAAAATGACATACAATCAACATTGCCTAAGGTAATAATTGTTTTTTATTTTATTGTGTTTTGTAATATTTAATTTGTATTTCTTAGGGACTTAACTCTTACCAAGCGTCACTACTGTACCCAGACAAGATTAACAGATTGCAAGAGATAGAGCCAGAGCTGGCTGGAGGGACAACTGCTGTTATTGCAGTTGTGTTTAATAATAATCTTTATGTAGCCAATGTTGGGGACTCAAGAGCTATTGCAGTTTATAGGAAACATTTTGAAAAATTTAGACAAGTAAGTACTAGGAGAGAGAAGTAGAGGGAATTGTTGGTTGTTGTTTTATATTAGCTATCAGTTGATCATTGTGTTGATAATGAAGATGAGCTTGAGAGACTGAAGGATCTTGGATTAGATATTGAACAAATAAAGAGAAATGGTAGACTAGGAAGTCATGAAAATACCAGAAGTATTGGGGACTATAACATCAAAAAGGGATACAAAGATGTGGATATTTTAAGGTTGGAGTGTTTATTATGGGGAATTCATATCTCTCCCTATCTTTATTGACTTTTTAGTTCAGCTACTGGTCCTCCTGGTATTGCTACTCCATCAATAAGTGGTCCTTATCCTATTAATGATATTGAATACATTTTATTAATGTCTGATGGTGTGTACAAGACATTAGAGTGTTTAACAGATCCTCCTACCAGTGATGTATATCCTAGACTACTCCAGTTAATACAAAAAGCTGAAAAGAGTGCTAATCTTCAAGATATTGCCAGGGAAGTATTACAAGATATTGAAGCATTACACAAAGAAGCTTATTATGACAGTGCAATGACTGATCCTAGATCAACAGTTGCTGTTAACTGCAGAAAACGTGATGATATGACATTGATGGTACTTCACTTCTCTTAAAACTTTATTTCTTGTTTATTTCTTTGCTGTGTGTGTTTTGATTATTAGAGCATAATTATATTTAATTATAATTTAAAATTTAATTATATTTATAGCTTAGTTTTACAAATAATGCATGTTGTTGCAAAAGTAAAGAGCCACTCCTCTCTCAGTGGGCGTATTCTGTAAACAAGCAGAAAATGGCCACTTCTGGTACGTGTTATAACGTAAATACTGGTGTTATTATCTATTGTTGTTACAGATAAAAGCAAGAGAACTGTTCCAGGATATTTCAGTTATTATTCAATTGAAAATGCCCGTTACTCTATAGAAGCAGAATCGAAGGTGATGTCGTCCTTCCCGGACCACACCAATGAAGACAAGTGTTTTATATTGACCCCAAGATCCACTCAAGATGATCCTATAATAATGGCTGTATTTGATGGTCATGATGGCAGTAAAGGTTCCACGTTAGCAGAAGGTATGCTGTACAGCAGATTCATTAATCCAGATGTACTGGATGAACTCAAAGCTAATCCCATGGAAACACTAAACCAACTGATACTTGAAACTGAAAAAAAGTTCTTTCGAGAAATTAGAAATTTTGTAGAAGAAAAAGATGATATTTTAGGCACATTACCAAAGGTATCAGAGCAGTATAATACGGAATAATATTTAAATTATTGTTGTTATTGTTGTCGTTAGGGTGTAACGTCGTATGAAGCTTATATACTGTATCCAGAGAAGATTAACAGATTGCAAGAGATAGAACCAGAGCTGGCTGGAGGGACTACTGCTGTTATTGCAGTTGTGTTTAATAATAATCTTTATGTAGCCAATGTTGGGGACTCAAGAGCTATTGCTGTTTATAAGGATCAACATAAACAAGTAAGAGAATGAGAGAGGAGTATGATAATGTATCGTATTGTTTTATAACAGCTATCAGTTGATCATGGTGTTGATAATGAAGATGAACTAAAGAGACTAAAGGATCTTGGATTGGATATCGAACAAATAAAGAGAAATGGCAGACTAGGAAGTCATGAAAATACAAGAAGTATTGGGGACTATAATATTAAAATAGGATACAAAGATGTGGATGTTTTAAGGTATGGTACCAATTACCTGTGGTATGCAACTAATTTAAGTTAGTCCATGCTAAATTTTGAAAATAAAAAATTATTTGTGCTACAATCAGTTCAAAATTTCTATGTAACCATACACTGTATACATGTGTGTCATATGTACATGCAGAGGAATATAGCTTAAAATGGAAAATTCTCAATCTTTTTGGTAAAATTTGGCCCAAGAACATAATGACTTTGGCCCAATTTTAGACCAACTTTTAAAAATCCAATTTTAATCAAATAAGGTCAAACTTTCTACACAACCTTTATACTTGTATCAGAACACTCCCTAGCTTCTCTCTCTCTCTCTCTCTCTCTCTCTCTCTCTCTCCCCCTCTGAGCATATGTTTTACATGTACATGTCAATGCATAAATAATTCATTAAGTGCCAAACCAAAACCCAGCCTTAATTAATAATATCACCTAATAAATAATAATCACCTAAAGCACATGGTCAAGCACATGTTAAGTTTATAGTGCCAGGAGAAAAGAAACCAATACCTCCCAGTATGTAGTGGTAAGCCCAGTTGTGTTAGATAATAAGCATAGGCCCTGTATATCTAGTGTCAGCACACATGTAACTGTACAAGCCATATTGGTAACAACAGCTTTTTAAGGCAGGCAGGGAGGTGAGAGTTTGGCCATTAAAAACGTTTTAACCCCCAGTTCCGGTTCTCAAGACTGGACTGCCTAGCCTGCTGTTCACCACGGCTTCATGCTAACACAGTAATTGTAAAAGTTTGTTTATATTGTCACATGGTATGACGACAATTGGTGTCTCTGAGTCATGAAAAGAGGGTCAATGGTGGGATGCTAGGTAGATAGCCAGGAAAGAAGCCTAGGCGGGTAGGCAGACTAGGAGCATCAACCGACTGTGGCCAACACTCTGACGTCTGACTATCGACAAGAGTTGGGTGTAGTGTCCTCTCTTAAATTTAATGTCACTTTTATTTAATCTCTCTCTCTCTCTCTCTCTCTCTCTCTCTCTCTCTCTCTCTCTCTCTCTCTCTCTCTCTCTCTCTCTCTCTCTCTCTCTCTCTCTCTCTCTCTCTCTCTCTCTCTCTCTCTCTCTCTCTCTCTCTCTCTCTCTCTCTCTCTCTCTCTCTCTCTCTCTCTCTCTCTCTCTCTCTCTCTCTCTCTCTCTCTCTCTCTCTCTCTCTCTCTTTTATCACAGTTCAGCTACTGGTCCTCCTGGTATTGCTATTCCATCAATAAATGGTCCTTATCCTATTAATGATATTGAATACATTTTATTAATGTCTGATGGTGTGTACAAGACATTAGAGTATTTAACAGATCCTCCTACCAGTGATGTATATCCTAGACTACTCCAGTTAATACAAGAAGCTGAAAAGAGTGTCGATCTTCAAGATATTGCAAATAAAGTATTACAAGATATTAAAATATCACACGAAGTAGTTTACTATGACAGTGCAATGACTGATCCTAGATCAACAGTAGCTGTTAACTGCAGGAAACGTGATGATATGACTTTGATTGTACTTAAATTTTAAAGAGATGATCACTAATCCCCATGTGTGTGTGTGCTGATATATGCATGTTTTAATTATGTAATCATGCATATGACTGTTTTGACAAAATGTTATAAAAGAATTTCATTAGTATATGATAACAAAGAAAGATGGAGTTGTCAATGAAGCACTGTAGCTGGCTAGTAGTTTTCACTGCTCTCTGTCTCATCAGCCACTCCAATGGAAGAGACATTCTATTAAATGATTTGAATTCTAGCACTCCTAACTGCAGTGTAGCCCCAGACAATGCCTCTTACCAATTGCAAGATTCATTGGAAAATATTTCATCAAATGTTGAGTTAATTCTTCAACCAGGTTGTCACTGGTTGACAAGGTTCAGTCCTGTTACTGATATAAGCAATATTAGTATAGTTGGTAGTGAAGAGGAGGACACTGTCATTAGTTGCCAGGAAGGAGTTGGATTAGCTTTTATAAACATTACTGACCTAACCATCAAATATGTTACCATACTGAACTGTAGTCTGTCTGGTAGCAATGTTAGTAATGAAATTAATTCCTCTGTCCCCGAGTTTTTGTTAACATTTTCCATTGATCCTGCACTTCGTTTTGGTACTGTTATCATTAATGCCTTGGATGTAACATTATATGGTGTATCAGTAAATGACACTATTGGTATAGGACTGATGGCAGTTAATGTTCTAGGAAGTTTTACCATTGATTCCTGTGTATTCTTTAACAATACGCCAGTGAGTGGGCCTCAGAAAAGTACAGGAGGTGGCCTGTTAGTGTACTATCACAACACTGATAACAATGTCTCCTACTCTACTCACATGAGTGTCAGCAACTCTAGTTTCCTTTACAATATTAACTGTGACATTATTGCCAGTTACTTAATTTATCCTTCATTCCTTCCTTCTCTTACTACCTATCCAACTGGAGGTGGTGGTGGGCTATCAGTGATCCTCGCCCAGAGTGACTATGATGTCACTTTGGATATCGACCAGAGTTTATTTAAGAATAATTCTGCTACTCATGGAGGTGGTATATTGCTTGGTGCATTCATTGGTGTCCAGAATTCACACTTATCCATCACTGACAGCACATTTGAGAGGAACGGTTTTGATTTTACCCCAGAGCATTTCATGGATCATAATCTCTCTGGCCAGGGTGTCATGATTATCGTTGATATCATCTTCCCTCCAACTCAACAAGCTCCGTACATTACAGGTAACAACAGCATATCAATTGAGAATTGTCATTTTAGAAATAACATTGCTTTATCTGGCTCGGCATTGCTATACCTCTCACGCTATGCTGTAGCAATACCTAGCGTCACGTCTTACTCACTGAGGTTAAAGGACTGCTCCTTTGAATATAACAAAGCATACTTTGGTGGGGCTGTGTATCTCATGGAAGATAAGTATAGAGGAACTCAAGAAGGTACTCGTGTATTGTTTCAAAACTGTAAATTTATGCACAACAAACTGAGGGCCATTCACAATGGGTTTACAAGCACTTCAGTTCAGAGCTCAAGCATACTTGATGCAGTTGCTTTGGACTTATCATTTATTGAGTATAATTCTTTTCTTAATAACACCGGAACACCACTGCATACAACAAGAGGTATCATTCATATGCATGATACAGTATTGATAGCTAATAATACAGGAGTGTATGGTGGAGCAATGGGCCTCTCTTCATCCTCTTATCTGATTCTTCACAATAACAGTGCAACTATTCTCGCTAATAACAGTGCCTTTCTTCATGGAGGAGCCATTTACTTTACGTTTATAAGTACAAATGATGCCATCAATTATTTCGATTGTTTCATATTTCTGACTGAATTAAATGCATTTGCAGTCTATGATTTTAATATCAGTGATCTTAACATAACGGTTAGATTTGATTCCAATGTTGCACCCATTGCTACACAGATATATGGATCAACATTGCAAACCTGTGTCTGGGCTAATAGATTTGTCGATCAAACCAATATAACATCAGTGTATTATTATCTGGAGAAAGTGGGAATATTCCAATTTAATCCAAAAATTGATGATAAAACATTTGGCACGGCTTCATATAAATTTAATGTCACTACAAATAACTACCCAGTGATGCCTGGTCAAGTATTGGATGTAAACGTCATTGCTTATGACAGATTCAATCAAGAAATAGCTGAACTGATATATTCCAATGTTGACGACAATCAAGTCTATGGCCAGAGTAAATCGTACATCGATAATTCTGTGTATTGGTTTATACATGACCGTGAAACAAACACTCCACTATCAGTTAGAACAATTGATGAACCAGAAAGACAACAAGACTACCCCGTGACTTTATTCTCAGTGCAATCAACATCAGAATATACCATGAATGTGACGGTTAGGGATTGCTATCCAGGGTTTGAATTCAGCTCTTCAGGCGATGACTTGTACAAGAAGTGTATATGCAATGCTGCCTTTGCTGTTAAATATCCAACCATCATCTGCTCACCAGAGACGGTCTCGTTTAGAGTCCCTAACAACTTGTGGTTGGGGCCAGTTAACAGTACCACAAAGACACTGATTGCCCACACTTGTCTCTTTGACTACTGTCAATTAGGTTCCAAGGACAATGTAACCAGTCTGGATTTTGATGTCCAATGTAAAAATGGATCGAATAGGGCTGGCCTCCTTTGTGGACAGTGCAAGGAAGGATACAGCATACAATTTGGGAGTAACAATTGTGCCAGATGCTCCAATGGATATGTGTCAATGATACTGTATTTTATAGCTGCTGGAGTGATTGTTATTGCATTAATTGGTAAGGTAGGGATCACTGTGTCACGTGGGTTTCTCAATGGGCTCATATTCTATTCTAATGTAATCGTTCCATTCCAGTCTTCTTTGTTAATGCAGCAGCCCAGCACTGGAGTCTTTTTCTTCCTTTATACTTTCTCAATCATTAATCTTAATATTGGGTTCCCGGTTTGTTTCTACGATGGAATGACTACACTCACTAGAAATTACTTGAATTTTGCTTTTCCAATCTACCTGTGGATACTAATGTTTCTCAATGCATTCCTCACAAAATACAAATTTTGCCTCAAGTACATACTTTGTGATGATAGAGCTGGAGTATTTGCTAGTACAATACTCCTAAGCTATGTCTCTGTGCTACAGGCCTGTACTTCTGCATTGAGTGTTACTAGAATCGATGATGATGCTCCTTGGAGGTGGGCTCCTGACCCTAGCATAGAATACTTCAGTGCAGCTCATGCCCCGTTGGCTATAATAAGTATAATAAACATAGTAATATACATTCTACCATTCCCTATATTGCTAATGTTCCCACCACTAGCTCTCAAGACCAGGATTGGTGTATATCTGATACCTGTATACGATGCATTTTGGGCTCCGTACAGAACCTCTTTTCATTTCTGGATTGGTCTGAGACTATTGGCACGTGTGCCTCCATTTATACTGGCTAGCTTTGTACCTTATCCAGGTAATGTCTTTGGCCTTGGGTTGTACATAATGATACTGCTGTTCATTCACGTCCTTGTCAAGCCATTCAAAGGAGCTGCTCAAAACATACTCGATGTCTATTTGTTGCTAAACATTCTTCTGCTAGTTATGGTAAGTCTATTTAGTGAAGCTCAGATAGAATTCTTTGATTCTCTGTCCGAGATACCACAGGGTATCTACGTTGGTTACTTGCTAGCAGTTTACAGTGCATTGCTCCTTGCTCTGTTTGCAGTGTTCCTGGTTGTCTCTTATCACATTTACATTCGCTTCAAAAGGGTCAGAAAATGTTGGAATGGTATCCTAAAACGCATCAAGATACTTTTAAAGAGAAAGAAAGATGAAGTACAACAGATAAAAGAAAGTACTAATGCTAGTACTGAAAATGCCGATCCACCAGAACTAGTCAAGTACACTGTACTGAGGGAGCCTTTACTGGAATATGGAGAAGCGTCTCTAAAGGCTTGTTACTCAAAATTAAATTGACAAACTACAATTCAGAGTGCTTGTTATTATTATTATTATTATTATTATTGTGTTATTAATGTGTTATCATTATACTGCTTTAATAATTTGAGTGAAAAGAGGAAATAGAAATAAATTTAATGCCAGGAGATGAAATAGATTTATTTTATAATAATATCGTTACTATAACTACAACCGTTTTAAAGCTTTCTTCTTTTCCTTCTTCTTTTTCTCAGCAGCTGCTGTTGCAGCAGCAGCAGTACTGGGGATCTTTCCTTTATCTGTTCCTTTCTTTTTCAACAGCTCTCCATCTTTGTCTTCCTCAGTGCTCTTGGAAGATGAAGGGCAACAAGCATCAATGCTGGTTGAAGAGGAGGTGGAAGGTTTTTGTGGTTTAGCATGAATCTCTGTCATCATTTTAGCATATCTTGAATATTCATCGTATTGCTCTAATAATAGTCTACCAGCTTCTTCGTTTAAAGCTGATTCAGGATTCGGATAGATTAGTAAGCATTTGACTGTCTAGTGGGAGAAAGAGAGAGAGAGAGAGGGATGTGAGTGCAATGAATTTCATCATTTCCAGGTTTCCACAGGATTTTGGCATAGTGCTCATGCAGCTTCTTGTCAGTGGATTGTCAAGTTGGTCAAAAATTGGACCAAAGACCCTGTACTAGCATATCACCAAAAAATTACTAGGAAAAAAATTCTCTGTTTAAAATTTTCTGATACATATACATGCACATGTTCTTATGTTGTGTATCAACTATGAGCTGATTCTGATCAAAATTGTATTTTTACGAATTTTTAAAGTTGCTCAGGCCAAACTACATGTATAACATGGTCATTGGCCAAATTTTGCCAAATTATGAAAAGGCAAGAATTCTCCATCTTTATAATTTTTCTGATGCATATTTTCCTTATTCAATTTTTATGAATTTTTAAAGTTGCTCAAAAATCAGGCCAAAGTCCATGTACTATAGTAAATGTCCATTGGCCGAATTTCGCCAAAAATGAAAAGTAGAGAATTCTCCATTTTTTAATTTTTCTGATACATATACATGTCCTGATGTTGCATAGACACTTTGAGCTCATTCCAATCAAGATTAGATTTCTTAAATAAATTTTTTAAGTTGCTGAAATGTCAGGCCAAATGCCATGTACTGTGTTGTAGTGTTGTCAGCTCATGAAACATGCTGTTTAGCTCACTTAGCATGCTTTGTGGGAAACCATGACATGAACATTTTTCCTCCCTCACTCTCAACTCAAGCTTACTAGTAAAATATGTTTTATTCCGTGTTCGGGTTTCCAGTCCTTCTTAAGTGTGTTGACACAGATCGCTCCATTTTTTGCAACATTGGGATGGAATATTTTAGTAAGAAAGAACCCTAAAGATTAAAAATAAAAATAACAAGTAGTTAATTTTATTTCATACCTTGCGGAGGTACAGCAGGGAACTCTTTGCTCAAAACTAGTTTCATTTTAAAAAGGCCACCTTCGTATGGAGTGCCAGCTACATTAATTAAAGTAGGTAGGAGGGAATTGTGCATAGATATGAAAAAAATAATAATCATTAATATAAAATTATAATAACAAACAATAATAATATCTTACATGGTCCTTCAATGGATGCTTGTATGTCAGTAATGTCTTCCTCATTAATAAACATCTTTATTCCTTCTGGTGGGGATTCTGATATTTCGTATACTTCTCTTGATATTCTTTTAAGTATGTGAGGCGGTAGATTCTCTACATTACTGATGGAAGAAGTCTAGAAAAAATAGAGAATATATATATAGCTGCAAGTCAGTAATGATACTAACAGAGGCCATGGTAAAAGAGAGAGATTAGACCTTGAGAGGAAGTTGATGAAGAACCCAAAAAGGCGCCTAAAACCTTTTTAAATTATGAAGCCACGCCTATGAACTAGCTAGTATAGTATACGGAAAATAAATGTCATCTTTCAAAAGTATACGGTTTGTTTTCTTTAAAAAATAATCATAAAAAATTATTATACAATAAACAGTAACAAAAATGAAATTTATAATCAGACAGATTGATATATAATTTTAAATATTTATATAAAAAATTAATTAAACTCTTGTAGCAGAATGGGATTCGTGGGCGGCACGATGATGAGAGTTGCCATGGAAACTCCCGACCCTCTTACTGAAATAAGACGAGGAGGAAGTGGGTGTGGTTTGAGAGAGATAGGACGGAGTAGAGGAGGCAATGCTGGGGGAGGGTAAACTATGAGGATAGGGCGGGGCCAGGTAACTATGGGGAGGAGCTTGGTTGCTATGGGGAGGGGCTATTGTACTGTACGGAGAGAGGAGGCTAGGAGGCTGTCCTCCGTTAGAGGAGGAGCCAGCAGAGTATTGTCGGGCATGAAAGTTTATAGCAGGAGGAGCTAATTCCGCCGATAAATTATGCATATGAGACGGAAAGAATATGTTATCTGGTGATACTCCACTGGCGGTTGATAGAGTATGGGCAGAAGTAACAGAGCCTTGTCTCTGGGGGCTGAATAGGCTATGATCAAGGGGAGGGAGGGAGGAAAGATGGAGCTGATTCTGAGACGATAGCTGGTTTATCCAGTGACCGTTTTTCTTTTCTTGTGGTATCGATTTAAGCCAGGCCTTTCTCGTGTTCCGCCGAACGTAAAACAAAATGTAGGCATTCTGTGATACCAGCTGGTCTTCGCTCTGGACTGGAAGGACTCGGTGATCATCAAAGATATACCACTGATTGTTAACTGGGTTGAGACAATGGGCTGTATAGTGGCCACGATTCATGTCACCATAGTGATAGCACACACTGTAGAGGTCATACATGTAACTAGGAGGATGTATCGAGGCCGAGTTCAGATTGTTAGTGACTACTTTGGTGTCGTGTGTTGCATGTACAGGAGAGGATATGACTGGGGTCAAGGATTTCTTTGGTTTCTTGTTCTTTTTGAAAATGAAAAACTTACGACTTTTGTCCTCAAAATGAGTGCTCTTCCCGTTTGCCGGTAAAGTTGAGATGTTTCTTCCACCGTTGAGAGCAACAGCAACTTTAGTGGAGTGATTCTGATAGGCCAGAGCTGAGGAAGGACGGAGAATGGGAGTCTGAGAGACGTAGGGCGACATGTCTAACCCAGAGGTTGGAAACTTTATCCATGTATCCAACTTAGCCTGGGTGTATTCGTCCTATTAGATAAACATAATAAATCCTGTCTTCTTTCTTTCTCTCTCTTCTTACTTGTTCAAATCTCTTCAAATGGACTATCAATATGTCAGGTAGTGTTGAAAATGTGATTCTTTTCTTTGCTCCAATTTGAGGACGCTTGCATTGAGGACAAGACCAAGAGTCCTCATCACCAAGCTAGAGCAGGAAAGAAGACACGTTAGTTCACCCTCTTTCTCTCTCTCTCTCTCTCTCTCTCTCTCTCTCTCTCTCTCCCTCCATACTCTCTCTCTCTCTCTCTCTCTCCCTCCCTCCTCTCTCTCTCTCTCCCTCTCTTTCTCCCTCCTTCCCCTCTTTCTCTCCCTCCCTCCTCTCTCTCCCTCCCTCCTCTCCCTCACTCCCTCCTCTCCCTCCCTCCTCTCCCTCCCTCCCTCCTCTCCCTCCCTCCCTCCTCTCCCTCCCTCCCTCCTCTCCCTCCCTCCCTCCTCTCCCTCCCTCCCTCCTCTCCCTCCCTCCCTCCTCTCCCTCCCTCCCTCCTCTCTCTCCCTCTCTCTCACTTTCTCTTCTTGAGTGTGCCACTGAAGACATTCATCAAGAGTTGCTTCCAAAGGAACATCATAATGCTCTTTGACTAGATGTACACTGTCATGGAGCAATGGCTGTGTTTCTGGAATATCAGTGCATACACTAAAGGGAATTAATGAATACATCATGTGATAAACAAGACATTTCCCTTACCAATCCTTGATCCATTGCTCCCATTCAGCTATTATCTTAATGTGCAACTCATAGCCCCATACTTTACTTAATGAGAGTGCCCTGAGAAAGAGTAATAAAGATTTCTTTTATGTAAAATTGGCATACTTTTCAACGGTAGGTGATTGCAGTGGTGTAGTGCAGTAAGGATCCAAATACTCTTGGCCTTGTAACCCATCTAGCACGCGGCACTTGAAGAATATGTAATCCCTACAAATAATCTGAGAGAAAGAAAAGGTGACACATAATTATTGATACACTGTAGAAAGCTTAGTTGAACCTGGCTCTAATTTCTGGAGTTACATATGAGCAATTTTAAGTTTTAGCAGACATGGAAACAGTTTTTTTTAATTCAAATTAAACTGCACTTTCTACATAATATCAAAATAATTATGTTTTAGAAATAATCTTCTAGACATTTTGACCTGTTGGCCAGATTTTTAGCAGCTTATAAAAATCATAAAAATCTAAGGAAAAATATGAACAATTCTCTCCTAGCCATTTTGACAAAATACCCATACAGTCTTTTACCTCAGGATTAACTCCTTCATGAAGATATTTCTTTATTCCTTTGAAGACAACTGACTGGAGCTGTGAGTAAGTGAAGTCCCTCCAAACCCTCAGACACAAAGGAGTACCAAACCTAACAATAAAGGAAAAGGATTTGGCAGTGATAGCACATTCCACACATTCCATGCATTACTTATTAAGGACTAAGAACATGTCTCATTGACTTCTAGTGAGAATATTTATGTACAAACGTACATAATTACGTACACACAATAATGACCTCATTTATTAGTGAACATACATACATGTACACATACATCAAATAGCTCAGTTAATACACAATTATTACATGTACACTGTATGTCAATTATGCTACATGTATCTACATGTACCTAATGAAATAATCACAAGCACTCATAAAATGGACACACACATGCTGTCCTTTTGAGTACATAATACATACACACATATGTTATTGTATTATTTTGTTGCTAATCTTTTTAGTCATATCACATAAGGACATCATTCATTTAGCAAGTCACACTGTCTCCCTATCTCACTCTCTCTCTACAATAACACGCTCTGGACTGGATGCCGCAATCTTATACGCTTCAAAACACAAACCAACCAATCAATAAATTAGAATACATTTATGGCAAAATTTGTTACTAATTAATCAAAATGCCGTGAAAAATATCAATAATAATAATAATAATAATGAACACTCTCTTACTTTTTGCTGTACTCTCCCTGCCCCACTCTATTCTGGAGTATTATGTAAATGGTTTCAGAGCTCTTTTGCTGTTCCATTACTGGCGGGACAGGAACAGGTGGGAACATGAAGTCTCCTTTATACGGGGTGACCTCATAAGCATAGAGCATAACATCATCGGGAATAATGGCAACAGGGTCGGTCGAGTGATAAAACTGATTAAACCCGTCCTCTCTCATAGTCCCTATCACGAGATAGTGAGGGAGAGATCTTGCCTCCAAGGCCAGCTGTTTCTGCACTTCTTGGACCAGGCATGTGACTTTGACGCTCAAGCCAAAGAGCATTAGTTTGGTCGTATTTTGATGTCTTCGTGTCATTGTTATGTAGATTGGACGAGTCCCACGCCTTGGTACTGAGAGAGAAATCGAGAGGTAAGGGTCAAACGTGTTGGACTGGTTTCCACACTCTGGGCAATGAAGACTGGACTGATAGTTCCCACCAAAGAGAGAGTAGACAAAACTATCAGTCTGAGAGGAGTCTCTGTCAGTGTCTATATGTACCGGAGGAGGAGTCTATAAGGAAGAAAGATGTAAATAAATAGAAAGTGATAATGGATATTGTATTACATGTTTATGTGTCTATGTGTACAGTCAAGAATGGAGAATATAAATAACACTTATCATAAACAAAATTAAAGGGTGAATAGGTAGGAGAGAGGGGGAGAGAACTAGAAAGATAGTGAGGGAAATGAGAGAAAGAGAGAGAGTGAGGGAGGAATCAAGGAAGGTTTGGAGTAATCTAAAGTACAAAGAAATCAGTGCAATAGAATGGAATGAAAGATATTTGATATGTACACACACACACACACACAGATACATTATTACACATGTAACTATGTACACATACATGTATATCATTGCATGTACTGTTACTTTACCTTTGATATTTGATGCCTAGAGGCTAGATTAAGGTTATCATGAAGGTATCCCAGCAACCAGAGGAGAAACTCCTGGGCATCATGCTGACTCCGCCCTCTATACTGCTCTGCCCAAAGACCAACAACCTCTTTAAAGATAGCACTAATCCTTCCTTCATATTGCCCTCCCCATAAAGATTTTATGAGATAAGAGAGGACATCAATGACAGCTCCAGGACTGTCCGGTGAGAGATACTCCTCCTGCTGAGAGCTAGCTCCAGTAGTGAGTGTATTATGAGGTGAAGCAGGTCCCCTCCTTTTCTTTTTTCTCTTTAAAGTGGCCAGGTCTCTCTGACAATCATCACTGATGATATAGTGCAAGAATCTCTCTGTGTTTCCAAGACATTGTAAGATGGCGTTCATGAAACAAGTGTTACCATGATTCTTGATACCAATCAGGCCGGGTATCGGAGGTAAAGGAAGAGGATTTAACCCACTGCTGGTCAGACCCACTGTCTCTACTGGTGTTGGTAGCTGCTCTCCTTTATTTGATTTATTGCCAGAAGGAGGTGGCGGGGGAGCTGGTCGTGATGGTACAATACGATGTTCAGCTTTATGATCAGGCAGCCTCAGTGACATTGACCTGTTCTTGAAAGGCTCACTGCTAGGACCTTCCCCTCTTACTCTCCCTATATCAGCATACTTCTCTAAACTATCATATCCTGGTCTGCCATTATCCAGTCTGCTATTATCCCCTTTCTCTCTCCCGTTGGCCAGTGTGGACATGAATCTCGGATAATCTGTCTGCAGCATTGGTCGAGGTATTATCTTCCCTCCTCCTCCCCCGTTGTTAATGCTGGAATCAATCTCATCGTCGTCGTCAAGGAAATCATCACTTGATTTGATGCTTCGTTGAGAGCCTTTTCTAATGAACTCTTCAGTTCCTCCTCCTCCCCCTCCTCCCCCACGGTGATTAGAGGATGAGGAGTGAGGACGTCTTGCTAATGGCATGCTCTCAGGACCATACCCTCTGAACTGCTCATTTTTACTTCTCCTCCCAGGTACCTCTGGTGTCCTTGAGGCATGTCGGTCATTATCAGACTTCTTTTTCTTCTTGAAAATTGAAAACTTTTTCTTTTTATCCTCTTTACTGGCTGGCTGTACGTTACTGGAGAGAGATTGAGAGCGACCTCTGTAAGGATTCTCCTGGTTGGAAGGTGTAGTGTATCTTCTACCGCTGGCTCGTTTGGACTGGTTGTTATGGTCGGTGGGTTCATGCTGCTGCAGGAGAAGGTGCGCTGGCGGTGGGTACTGGAAGTGTCCTACTCCAGGACTAGGGGCTGTTATCTCCACTGGTTTCCGATGGTGATGGTGCGTCTTTTGAAACATACCGAACCAAGAGGAAGAAGAGGGGAGAAGGAGAGAGGTACGGTGAGTGAAGCAACTTCACTGCAAGATTGTTGAAATGCTATTTTAGAAATTATTTGCAGACACGCCTATAGATTAAACCGCATATTTTCTATTTTAAAAGTACAAAAAATTTTCTCCAACTTTCATCTGAAAGGAAAAAAAAAGCTCCGAAGCGGGGAATCGAACCCCGGTCTCCCGCGTGACAGGCGGGGATACTCACCACTATACTACTTCGGACAGCTGAGCACCTAAATTTGATATTTTGAAATTTCAATGTGATCAATGACAATAATATTAATTATTTCAAAATTTTAAACAATTATTATTCAAAACAGTTAGCTTTTCCCCCAAAAGAGGCCTTTTACAAACCCAGTCAATCCTCCTCCTCTTCTCTCGGCTCTGTGACTCAGAGAGGGCATCTCAATATGTCCCAATGCTAAATCAAAGAACAGAGGTTTACCAGATAAAGGGACATAGTCTGGAGGAAGGGGTGCCAATGTGATATTAGACCGAGTAGGAAGAGGAGATTTTAAATCAAAATCATCCAGTCTATTAGTCAATGGCTATAAAACAAGGCATTATTATTAGTTTATTACATTCACTACAGAACACACATACTTTATCGTGTAGGCTTAATGCTTCCATTTTCTCTTCTATACCTTCAGATTCTAAAATTAATAATAAATAATGAATTATCTACTCATGCATGGTAGTTAGGCTACAGCTCCTACTAACCGAGTATACTGTTCACTTGAACTTCACATTTCTTTCCTTTTGCCTTCTCTTGTAACTTCTGTAACTTAACAAGATGAGCCTACATTTTAGTAGTAATACCAATAATAATGATAGTATAATGATTTCCCCATTGCTATTAAATGGACCACATTGTTTAATTCCTATTAAAATTGCCGTATTTGTAAAAGGTAAATTCCCTTTATAGCTCCATAATAATATGAAGGATATTATTTACATTGGTTAAATACTAATACTAATATTATTATTATTAATCATAGTCATACCTCTGCCTCAGACTGCCCCCAGTCTTGGAAATGTTTTATAGCCTCAACAGTCCGTTCCAAAGATCTATCCAACAGTGCCACACCCTCTGCCCACTTCTTCATGGCAGTGTATGTCTCTGCTATGTAATAGCAACGGAATGCTTTGAAATAAAAGGATTGGGCTATCACAAATTTCTGCTCCATCAAGTCAGTATGAGAGTCGGCTAATTCTGCAACATGCTATGAAGGAATGATAGTGATTTGTAACCAGCTGCTATTACAAGTGCCCTCTCTACCTGCAAAAGGATGTCATACACGCGTACAAATTCCTCGGGTTTAGCTGATTTCTGTCCGGCTTGCTTCGGTTGCTCTAGGGTATCAAGAAGCAAGAGGTTTCTTTCAATAGACCGGCTTAGTTTCTCATGAGATAGATAATCTAAAAGATTTTGCAAATTTGCTTTGATTGCTTCAGTCTTTTGAGACTTTTTCTTATCAGAAGACTAAAAAAAGTAGAATAAAAAAATTTAATTTAATAAGGAGAGGGGGAAAAAGAAAAAAAAAAGCTCCGAAGCGGGGAATCGAACCCCGGTCTCCCGCGTGACAGGCGGGGATACTCACCACTATACTACTTCGGACAACTTGACACAAAAATTCAAAAATTACTTACAGATTCTTGATTGATCTCATCCCTTATAATTTGAATGGCATCCTGGCATTCCATAAGTATCTTCTCATAGAGTCCCATCTTCTCCTCAACATCTTTTGCTGCTCCAATCTCACTAGACAGCTGGTTCATTTTTATAAGACAAACTCTGACCCTCTCATTTTTAATAGGCAAAGCTTTTCCCTGCCACTGCACCTCTGTTAGCGAAGCAGCAACTTTCTCACCAGTTTTAGCAAGCACCTCCTATCAATAATAAAACAAACAACAATAATAATAATAACAATATTTAATGCTAACATCTATTTTAGCAGCCAGTATATCAGATCCAGGAGCATCAGTCCTTAGTTTCATTAAGTCGCTCACATCATTAGGCAGTCCCCCAATGTTATAAGCACAGTAGCGTATGTTAGGAGTAATCTCATCAACTCGCTGATGGTAAAATGGTCGCTGTTCCTCGCTTACTGCGTTACCAAGCTTTTGATAAATAGTTCTGAGAAAAGAGAAAGGAGAGAATAACTCTCATCAACTCTCATCTCAAGATTACTGAGAATTTCCAAAAGCGTCCAAAGCCTCTTGCCAATTTTGCTGTTCAAACAATACATTCCCATTTATCCAGCTGCTATAAGCAGACACTTCGAGCTTAGTCCTAGCATCGCAGTTGGGTATCTCTTCACACAGATTTACAAGGTCTAGGGCATGCTTCTTCGCTTTTTGTAATCTCCTCAAAAGATGAAAACGTTTCCTGGGGTCAGTATTACTTAACTAGAGATAGAGAAAAAGATAAATAAAGAGAGATAGATGTCCTTTAATATACCGTATACCAGTTTATTTTCGTGGTAGAAAATTTTTGCAAATCTTGCATTTCTAAGATTTCATGGAATTAATTTTTGCAAATGGCTTGCAGACTGCACCACGTGGCAATGAAAATGCAGAATTTTCACAGTAGAAAATTTCATGACAGAGCAAGAAACTGCAAATTTGTGAAAATATTTCACTGCAAAAATAAACTGGTATACGGTATTTTAATGAGCTGTTCAAGTACCTGCTTTAGTTCCATTGCTATAGCCCATGCTCTCTCAGCATTGATTAAAGGGATGTGAAGGAAGCGAACATCTTTAACAACAGCGGATGTTATTGGCTTCTTGTGGTAACGACTTCTGTGGCCTTGAGTAAAATGAAGAGCTTTTCTAATCCTCCTCAATCTCCTGGCACAGTAAAGCCTATTAAAAATAGAATTATTATTATAATTCCTATTATTACTAGTATTATTGCTAGTATTATTATTATTATGGAAGGACAAAAGAGAGAGATAGAAAGGGAAAGCCCATAATGAAAACAAAAGCGAAACAAAAGACAAACAGAACAGAAAGCTAAACTAAAATAAAATACATGTAAAATAAAACAAAAATTATTATCATTATTATCATTATTATTTACCTGTATCTCTGATAGTCCCCATGCTTAAGTCCATGCTGATTTTGCGCCTCTTTAATAAATGGTAACACTGTGATAATGAATTAATTACATATATATATTAACTAATTAACAAGCAAGGAACTATCATATTAAACAACCTTCCATTGTATACTGGAGTTCGGCAGTAGCAGCCTTCTCCTCTCCTCCTCCTACAGTATTTTCAGCTCCCTCTGCTTCCATTTTCTCTTCTTTTGTTACCTCAACAGTCTCTTCAGCCATTGTCTCAACGTGGTTAATTACAGACGGGTGTGGTCATGAATATTAATTAATTGATTTGTGGGCTCAAATTTTTGTTTTACTTCTATACTTTTTTATTTAAATTTTATTTCATTATACAAAAATGTTTATATTGTACATAATTTAGTATACATCTCAAATAACTTTAAAAGTTTTTGCCAATCGGTTTTTGAGGTCGTTGTATTTTAATCTTGCTACCATGCTTTCTCCTAATGTGTTCTGGACTATAATATGAGGTTGGTAAGCGCCGTGGCTTCCTCTGTGTACCACTATACACCTGGTCCTTATCCATTTGCTGCAGCTTGGCTTCTAAAGCTGCTATTTTAGCAGCAGTGCTACAATTTAAAATAATAGTGTTAATAATAATAATGTTAGCTTCATACCTTGCTCCACCTCTGAGAGTTGCCGAGACTGAGCTAGCATCCCATGTTTCCGAGACAGTGTTACCTGTTTTCTTGATGTATTGATCCGGCCTGGCCCAATCAACAATGATGTTCTTCCCAAGAGCAACTTTGCCATTCATGGTCTCTTTCGCTTTCTCTGCCTCCTGGAACAAACAACAATAAAGTGATAATAAACAAAGAATATAAACAAGTTGATTAGTATAAACAATGAAAGCAAATATATTACACTGAATATAACACTGTACTAGCATACACTACTATGTGGGCAGCTACTACATGCTATGCATTTCTTCTTAATCATACTAATCATTGTTTTCAGAAACTATAACAAGAATAGGCTAAGTTTGGCATTATTACATTAAAAGAATCCCTTTGGGAGATTAAACTATATGGATGCAATAATTATTATAAAATCGTTATTAGTTAAGATCACACTGCTTGCTGTTAAGTCAACCATGATCAGTTAATGTAAACAATAACACATGATACCACCATTAGACCAGCTCACTTCTCTTGTTGAATACTCAATGAAGCAGTATCCTCTTGGCTCCCCTTTCTCTGCACCAGTACTGTGTAGCATGTATTTAAATGATACTATTTTACCATAAGGGCTGGAGAATTGGAGTATATTTTGACTAAAAAATTAGATTTAACACAATAATTTAATATTCATTATAATAATTATTACGCTCACTGTGTTAGCCTTTTGTCTAAATTACCAACCCACAGTTTGTGTGCCTGTATGGATATTCCTGTATCTGGTACTGTGGGAGGAATGGGTATTTCATGGTCCAGTTGAGAGGGTGAGATTATAGAAACACTATCTTGAACATCATGCCGTCCCTGCTGTGAAGTGATAAGTGTTGCTTGAGAGCTCATTCCGCTGACTGCAGCCATTTTAAAGAGTCCTTTGTTCCTCTTGGTATCTCTTCCCTTTCAGTAAAAATGAGGAAATACAGGGGGCTACATGCATATGAAAGAGAGATTGGTTGTCCAGCCACACCCAAAAACAATAAAAAACCAAACCTTTTTATAACTTTATCACTAACCAGCCACGCCTACTTTATTGGCATCTTTCTTTCCTTGCCTTTCTCCCTCCCTCTCCTCCTCCTTTTAAAAGCTTGCTTCAGTCCGTGGCTATGACATTATTTTCTGATATAAAGTTTCTCTCATAGCTCCAAATAACTTTAATAGCAAAAGCTCTACAACAACACTCATGGCTGGACTTTTCAGAGGAAAGAAATTCACAATCAGATTGCTACTAGTATTACTCCTAGTTCTCCTTGTGGTCTTGATACAAATTGTGTCTGTTAGCAGAATAAGTAACCCCCAACCTTATCCCTGGGAAGTGGCAGAGCCTCACAACAAAAGAGATGAACTGAGAAATGATGAGACATTTAAAGACAAAGAGAGAGGATTGAGGACCATCAAGCCTCTCGTCAAACAAGTAATTATATATAATCATTTTAAATTATTTATTATTGCTGCACCCATGTGCAACCTCTATTGTCTTGCATTCAAAACACCTTGTATCCTCTCTATTTCTACTTTGCAACACCATTATTGATAAAATTGTATTGCCCCGATTGTACAAGGCTACAAGCCTATGCAAAAGCAATGAAGACACCTCTTTATTAAAAACAAGTAGTGTGGGCCCAATGGTTTCTAGAATAAAGAGGCCACACTATGCATGTATATTTACTCTGTCATTGAAGATTATGAGCTGATGGTCTACTATTAATGTATAAGTTATCATGTAATGGGAAGCCTCTTAAGTTCAACTTAGTATGCACCATAATGAAATTTGATCCTAAACATTGCTTTTAGCATTAAAAAGGAAATTATAATGATAGTCCTAGCATGCATAGAATGCATTTGCCACCTGTTTTTGATTACTCTTACCACCTGACACTTACCCCTGATTGGTATTTTAGTAATGATACTAATCAAGTATGTAGGCGTTGAGTCATGTCTCATGTTATAGGATGGGAATGATAATGAGAAAGAAGAAGGAAAGAAACATGATGATGGTCGTTCCTCTCCCTCTACTCCTCCTCCTCGTTTATCTGCACTCTCCACTCAACCCTCCTCACCAAACACTGCCCCTCCCTCTACTCCCTCTCCTCCTATTCATTTTTGCTACATATCATCAAAGGATGCCATCTCGGCCATCAAGAGAGCCAAGACTGAAGACTGTCGGAATCTTATCAGAAACATCACCTGTCAGGCTCAAGCAGGAAAACTCTACGACACAAGTATCAAGAATACTTGTCCGATTGGTAGAAATCCAACAAAGGCATTTCAACATGTTCCTTATGAGAATGGAGTTGGGCCTCTACCGAGGGTAGTGTATCTCCTCTCTGTCCATGGGAGAGCCATCAGGCAGATACAAAGATTATTCAAGTCGATTTATCACTCTGATCACTATTATTATATACACGTTGATAAGGTATGTGGAGAGAATGAGGGGAGAGGAGAGAGACTGGAAGTGCATGGTACATGTCTGATAACAATGTTCTGTGGGTAGTTTGTAGAACATGATGTTGACATTGTTTCTGCATGTTGATATAACAAGAGAATTGTACGTGTACACTCACGTGCTGTCCTTCATTGTTATTTTTATAACCCATTTCTTATTAGATCAGGATCAAATGTTAGACTAAATTACATGCCACAGTCTCCATTCTATAACATTACACTTGCATAAAAAATTAAAAGAAACTTGCATATAGGGCTGTGTTAATAATAGGTACTGTACCAGCTATGCACCTTTGATCCTCATTCATGCATTAAATCACCTCTCTGTAATTATTAGTCATTCACTAATTATGTAATGTTGCATACAGAACAGGTGGTCAGCTCTTGTTTTGTGATGCCAATATCATTTTTATTCATTTTTTCCCCAGAGATCTGATTATCTCTATCGTGAAATAAATCTCAAGTTTTCCGACTATCCAAATGTCTTTATATCGAAATGGCAGATGACTACGATATGGGGAGGCTCCTCTCTTCTTCAGATGTTGCTAAAAGCAATGGAAGACATTGAGTTTAAGCTCACTCACTGGAAGTGGGATTTCTTCATTAATCTCTCGGAATCAGATTATCCACTAAAGTAAATATTATATGCTGCTTTTTAATTATGGGATTTATAATGATGTTAGTGGCGTCAAAGGTTTTGCATTTTGTTAAATGTAATTTCGGGCACTCAACGCCCTACGGTTTTATAAAATTATTTCAATGTTATGACTCTCCGTCTGATTATTGTTGTGTCTCGTACACTTACCAATGGATGGATGATATACAATAAATACACAGACCCAGTCTTTGGGTATTGTATGTACACAGTAACTAGTCAGTAGACTGATCCACTAGTCACCACTTCGTCAATAGACTTTGTTTATTATGCCAGTTTAATTGGACCAACATGTAGTGATTGTTGAATACATAGAGACATGTACTGGACAGAGTTTTTAGTCTTGTACTGTGATATCAGTAACAATATTGGCTATATGTATGGTGTGTGTGTGTATTGACTGTGATAGTAAGAGCCAGTGTCACTTCCTTCCTTCCTCTTATTGTTTGGTGTGGCTGTTGCAATTAGGAACCAATTGGGTTTGTCCTTGTTGCCATGGGCCAGTGGCTCAATTACTTATCAGTGAAGCCACATTAGTCAATGGAGCAGATGTTAATTTAAAGATTTTTTAGTTATTGGCACTTTCTCTAAGCATCTCTTTTACTTACAGGTCAAATGATGAGCTGGTACAGTTTTTAAGAGTTCACAGAAAATCCAATTTTGTTAAAACACACGGAGGAGATATTAACAAGTTAGTATGATAATAATTAGAGAAGATATCTCCGCCCTCTCTTCTCTGTCCTTTGTTAGATTTATTCAAAAGCAAGGGCTTGATAGGACATTTGTGGAATGCGAGGGTCACATGTGGCGTATATCTAATCGCCAGTTACCAGACGACATCACTATTGATGGTGGAAGCGACTGGATAGTCATTAATAGGAATTACTCTCGGTATCTAGTGACCAGTAATGACCCATTTCTAAAAGGACTCAAAAAATACTACCAATACTCACTGCTGCCGGCTGAAGTAATTATTTATGCATGTATTGTGTTGTATAGAAAGTTTGCAATCAAAATTGGATTTTTAAAATGAATTTTTGAAGTTGCTTCATTGTTATACAGCTTTACTGATGCCTTTGTGCTGCATGTGCATGTTAAAACCTGAGCCTATTCTAATGACTTTTTATTGAATTATTTTTACAGTCATTCTTCCACACTGTACTACGCAATGGCCCATTATGCGCTACACTGGTGAGGAGCAACCTACACGTCACTAACTGGAATAGGAAGCTAGGCTGTCTCTGCCAGTATAAACACATTGTTGATTGGTGTGGCTGCTCACCTAATGACTTCCTACCAAAAGATATGAGCAGGTTGAAAGTAAGTGATGTACAGTATAATGTGACGTAATGTGATGTCATCAATGTGTGTGTGTGTATGTTATGTCTTCAGGGAGTTTGTTTATATTTATTGTTTTGTGTTTGTTATTTCTAGAATCCTGGTAATCAGAATTTTTTCGGTCGCAAGTTTGAGGCTATTGTTAATCAAGAGGTCATCAATGAGCTCCATTCACATGTGTATGGAGCTTATCCTGAAGAAACCCTCAGCCTCTCCTCCTACTGGCAGAACGTGTATCATTTCAAAGACACAGCTGCTAAGCCTTCATCATCACAGTACACCGTGTACCAATCTTTCCTCAGACTTGGACTGAAACTGATTTCAAAGCATAGGAACGAATCCGGTTGTCCGGCCCCGCCCTCCAATCCTCTTGTGAAGGAGGTCAGCGTTTATTATTTGGAGGATCTTTTTGTTGGATTAATTATTAAAATAAGTGATGAACTTAATGGTCAGGGAGAGCAAGAGATTCTACTTACACCAAATTCAGTATCAGAGCTACACGATCAATCCGAAGACATTAGCAAAAGAATAACGTCATTTGAGGTATGTAGAAATCAAAATTTAAGATTATTGCTAATAATTTCTCTCTCCCTCTCAATTTCTGTTGCTCTAGGTTGGCTCAGAGTGGGATGGAAAAGAGAGCATATTCAGGAATTATGGTGGGATAAT